CCATGGTCTAAAATTAAAACCCTCTAAATGCTCATTTTGTCAAGTTAAAGTCAAATTTTTAGGTCATGTCGTGTCTTCCCAGGGTGTATCTACCGACCCTGACAAAATTTCATCCGTGTTACATTGGCCGAAACCACAGACTGTTAAGCAGCTACGGACATTTTTGGGTTTTTGTGGTTCATTAGCCCAGGTTAGGAGCAGAACAGTAGGACGTTAAACTCCATTTCATTTCATTTCATTTACGTTAAAGATTATGCTAAGATAATCGCTCCGTTACAGTTTAATGAGCCTAAAAGTCAGGATATCAGCAAAGGATGGTCCGACCATTCGGATAACGCTTTCCATTCTATAATTACAAAATTAACGACAGCTCCAATTCTAGGCTATGCCGATTTCAGTAAGCCTTTCGTTGTCGAGGTTGATTCCAGTTTTGATGGATTGGGTGCGGTTCTTTCCCAATATCAGGATGGTGAATTGCGTGTGATTTCCTACGCGAGTCGAGCCCTCTGTGGAGCGGAAAGGAACATGGATAATTATAGTTCCCGTAAGTTGGAATTGTTAGGCTTAAAGTGGGCATTGTGCGAGAAATTTCGGGATTATTTGTTAGGGCAGAAGTGTGTGGTATATTCTGATAATAATCCCCTCTGCCATTCACTTAAAGCTAAATTGAGCGCCGTGGAACAAAGGTGGATGTCCGATTTGGCTGTCTTCGACTTCGAACTGAAATTTAAAAGCGGTAGCAGTAATAAAAATGCGGATGCATTATCGCGGAGATTACAGGATGACGTGTTTGTGGATGTGAAACCAAAGATTCAAGAAGTTACAAAGTCGAGTTTTTTGCCTCGAGGTCTTCAGTCTATAATTAATGAAGATTTGTCTACGGTAAAACCCGATCCAGTATATTCAGAATCCATAGCGATGCTTCCTTCGTATACGCCGACTCAACTAATTTCGCTACAACGATCTGATCCAACAATCAATACCTTCCGATCATTTTGGGATGTCAACAAGTATCCATCACGTAGGGAACGTAAGCAATTGAATAAACCTGTAATGACTCTCTTTCGGCAGAGGGACAAACTCTTTACAAAGAATAATGTGCTGTATCGTCGGATTTCTGATAGTGTCAGTGGTGAAGTCCATCAGCTTGTTCTACCCAGTTCCCTCAAGGACAAAGTTTTGGAGAATCTTCATGACAAGGCCGGTCATCAGGGAATCGAAAGAACATTCGATCTGGTAAGGTCCCGCTGTTATTGGCCTGGAATGTGGCATGATGTGGATTCTAAATGTAAGACATGCATTAGATGTGTAGTATCCAAGCCGTGTTTACCTAAACCACACCCTTCCATGAAAAATTTGTTAGCTAGGGCTCCGTTGGAAATCATTGCAATTGATTTTACGTTGTTGGAACGAGCTTCTAACGGAATGGAGAATGTACTTGTTATTACAGATGTTTTCTCGAAATTTACCGTGGCGGTTGCCACTAAAGACCAGAAAGCCTCCACAACTGCGAAATTATTGGTCAAAGAGTGGGTCGTTCGTTATGGTGTACCGCGGAGGATACATTCTGACCAAGGTCATAACTTTGAGTCAAAGGTTATTGAGAATCTGTGTGCCATGTACGGAATTAAGAAAAGTCGAACGACCCCCTACCATCCACAGGGCAACGGTCAAACCGAGAGGTTCAATCGTACACTACACAATCTACTGAGGAGTCTTCCAGATGATATCAAGAAACGTTGGCCACATCACTTACAAGAGCTAACATTTGCATATAATACTTCGACGCATTCATCTTCTGGGTTCACACCCTATTTTCTATTATTTGGGAGGAATCCAGTACTCCCTATTGATGTGCTATTAGGATCAGAGTCCGATTCATCTGAAAATTGGGTAATTGAACATCAAAAGCGGTTAACAAGTGCTTATGAAACGGCGTACAAGAACCTAACCAAGTCTGCTGTTCAACGAAATGAGCGAGACAGGAAAGCGGAGGACGCATCTCTTAACGTCGGTCAACTTGTGTATGCTCGTGCACGTGGTATAGTTGGTCGATCCAAGATTAATGACCATTGGTCACCCTTGGTATATCGTGTAAACCAACGGATATCTGACGATAATCACGTCTACGTGGTACAACTCGTTGATGATCCCGAGGTCACTAAAACACTCCACCGCTCTGAGTTGAGACCATGCCCGATTACCACAGGTAATTGTGATTCTGGTGATAGCAACGGATCAGTTGATTTATCTAAGGGGTCTGGTGATGTGACAACATCGTATAGAGCTGATGACAGCATAGCTCTAGATACAGGCAGCAACATTGCAGATCTCCCACAGAATATTGATACAGAAAAATCGACTATCTTATATGGAGCTGATGATAGCATTGCTTCATTAGCAAGTCCACATGATGACGTAGATGATTTAGAGATCGACACTACCGGTTCTACTGTATGTGACAATAATTTGCTTGATGGTATTCGATGATCCAGTCGGACAAACAAAGGACAGCATGATAATATTCACAAAATCCCTAAATCTTCGGTGAATATTCAAACAGTTTCTGCTCAGCACACTGCGCCTTCGATTAACTATGCTGATACTTTGTTGAAGCTGGGAAATAGTTTAGTTGCGACAACGCTGCGTGAAATTGGTACATTGTTGCGACAGGAGCCAAATGATTAAGACATTATTTTTTTTTATTTTTCTCTTCTAAATGTGTTATATTATTTTGTCATGATCATTTATGTTTGTTGTATATGCGAGCAGTGCTATTGGTTTCATTATCTTTTCATTTATCACATATATGCGAGGACGCATTTCTCTCAAAGTTGGGGAGAGTGTGGCCGAATGGGTTTGTTGTTGTACATGCTTGTACACCCTGTCACTCACTAGTGGTCTGAACCCGTATGGAGAAGTCATGTGACAAGCGTGCGACTGACGACAGAGAAACGAGGGAGAATCAGAGATTACGAGACAAGCCGACAGCACTGCTGCATTGTTCTTTGTGATTTGCTTGCATAATAAACGTCTACAACCTGTAGTTTGAGTTGGCAATCCTTTCGATCCTACTGCTCGGTTACACATATAATACTGTACATTTACATGCATTCAACCAATAAGACAGCGTAAGAATATAGCCCCAATCTTTTCCCACGTTTCTGACCATGTGACTTACCGTTAAGTGCACCGTGGAGTGATTTATGGAACTGTGCTTTATGGATTGTTGATTTAGATTAACTGAAGCTGCGAGTAATGAAGTAATGTGAAAAAGCTCATCGTATATAATTTAAATTTGGATTTGATAGCAGCCAATAATTGATGGATTACATCTAAGTTATAGACGAAGATGAAATGATACGTTTAGAAAATTGTAAGTTGTTCATAGTTTGCATACATTTTGGCCCCACGTTATGCATGTATACAGTGCCTTAGAAAAAGAATCCGACCCTAGCTTCCTCGCCAACGGTTAACATACTTTGTATTCAACTGAAATAAATTACTTTTTTTTAACATGCTTAAATCGGGATAATATCGGCACTCAAGCGATTCACCATGTTCCACTGCGAAACACTGAAATAGGGTGTTTTGCGGTGATTTGGCTAACTGGCATTTCGCTAGCGATTCTCCAAGATTCCGTCGCGGAACAGGGAGTTTTTCCGCCGTGTTCGGCGATTCTAGTCCCAAACTCCAGCAGCGTAGTGTAAGTCACGATTGTCTGTGTTGTAATTAAACATGTAATTAATTCAATATGTCCGTTACAAGCTACATATGATCTGTACACACGTTCCGCTTTACTTCAAAGGAATATGCACTGGTCAGTAAGCATGCCGTGACGAGATAAAAGAAACAATTGTATGTATGAACATGTGTTCGAAGGTATATAAAAATGTGTTGTCTGACAGTTAGGCAGGGAGGAGCACAGTGAAATCTCAATAATATTTTGACTGAATCTCTCACTGAAATTTTACTAAAATCTCATTACTATTTCAAAGTCTTTAATAACATGCATTCTGAAAAAAAAACTCCAAACAATTACAATATTACTATATTATTAATTATCCCTCAAATTTCTGTATTCCGTCTTCTAAATTTTCTTTTTCTTCTAGTGTTGTCCTTTTCTTCGATGATATTAAAAATATATGACCTGAAATGACACAATCAAAATAATATTAAATAAAGATAGGCATGTGCCATGCAGTGTGCTGGTAGAGCATTCAGCTGTTTCAAAATTATCCTGTCAAAAACAAAGCATATATAAATTTTGGGATTAATGTGCATCGGCTGTCACTAGTGGCAGGCATTTAGTAATTACTTATGAATACACAAGATTATAACACTGATAATTTACTCTTAAAATATGTTTTGATTTATTTTTAGTGGATCCGTAATATATATACACAGAACCGTTTTACCTTAGTTTTTAAAAACTAAACATAGCCAGGTCACATACTTTGCATGACGGAAGTTAATATACCAATACACCCAGCCCAATATACTAGAATTTAAACAACTAGCCTATACTCACCATGGCTGCTTTTGAAATTACGCCTTATCATCAGTACATCCATTTTATAATTAACTACTTCAAAATTTATCCAACAAACCATTCTGTGATACACGTTGGTGCTTTGATGGTCATATAATCCAGAAATTGCACAGAAATTAACGAACGTGCACAAACACAAATCTATTATCCCAAATACGCGCCTTTTTTCCAGGAATTTCAACATTTGATTAAAAATGCGGAAGCCTTTCGCGAAACAGTGAAAAAACGTATGTTAATTAACCTGTTAATCTGTTGAAAATAGCAGCACCAATTTATCAATTTAGTAATGAAACATGCACGCGAGGCCCTTTTGTTTGCATGAGAGTTTCATATACTTTACAACCATTATAGAATTAAAAATTTCTTCGTTTGTTTTCTATTCCAAAATGTTTTAAAAACATGTAGTTAAAGGGCGATTCACGAATTTCATAGAGCCTAAGATATAACATTCCGTGTACGTATGACATTTAAATGCCAAAATATAGAGGAATAGTATATTTACCTTGTCTGAAAAGTTCAGTTCAAAATATTTAGGCGTTTGGACGTGAACGTCAAAGTCGCTTATCCGAACACTAGCATTTTTATGACGTCTTTTCGTTGGCCACTTGATAATTGTGACTATTCTATACTGATTGTTAACTTAATCGAATGGTAAAGTATTTGTATTTAATATTTATATGCATAAAAGTTGTATTTTATTTTTAATTTTATTGACTGTGATATTGTTTTTATTTATGCATATAATGTTTTTTTGTGATATGATTTAGCCTGTCTCGTAATATTCACCATATGTTTGGCGCAATGTAGCCCGGTTGGAGCTGATATGCCATAAAACCACATTTCATTTCATTTCACCCTGTTGGCGGTAAGCTATAATTTGAGAAAGGAAAACTGATTGGATGTTTATTTTTACACAGCCAATCGCTATAGTTTACCGGAACATCAGCCTAAAATGTGATTCAATCGGGTCAAACTGAAAGTTGGGAGTTTGGTGTCTTGTTCAATTCATCATGGATAACCCTCCAAAACGTCAAAGAGAACGAACAGTCACAGATATTGCACAAAAAAGAAGAAATAGTACATGCGAGGTTACACAGCATAGAAAAAGACGAATGTGTGTATTTATGCTGAGAAGTAGCGAGATGGAAATTGGAATGATTTCAACAAAGCCAACTTCACGAAGACGTTGCCAATCTGAACTAATAAAAACTTTTAAACTGGTATGATATTTTATTGGAGGAATCATTTGTAAATAGTGTAAATTAGTAGTATTATCTTTTGGAATCATCAATTTTTATTAGAGACGTATGTACTCACAGATTTCATTTTTAACAATTTATTTATACTGAGCGCCATGGAAAACGCATCACTTAGTTTTTCGTATAACAAAATGATCCTGTAAACATATCTTTATTATTTTGCTTCTTATTGTGAACAATATTCAAATGGGAACACATAAATAACAACACATTTGTACACTTATGGATGTTTAATCTGTAATCAAGGGTACAAAGTCAGAGGGGTCAAAACCAAAAGTATGACACAGATGTCAGTAGCGCGTGTGTCCTCCACGGGCCATCATCACGGTAGGCTACAGCATTAACGCGACCCCAGCAAATGTGTAGGGTGGTCCGGTGAGGAAATGTGAAGCCTCCCCACACCATTACACTTCCCCCACCCCATCGATTCGTTTCGAAGACGCAGCAGTCTGCAAGACGTTCCCCAAGACGTCTCCACACACGTTGACGGCCATCAGCGTGATAAAGATGAAAGCGACTCTCATCACTGAAGAGCACACTTTGCCAGTCTACTCTTCTCCATGTCTGGTGTCCTTGAGCCCATATCAAATGCCGCTGACGGTGATGATCCCTGAGGATAGCTCCAACATAAGGTCGTCGTGCACAGAGTCCTACTTCTCTTAGACGACGTCTTACGGTGTTGGCACTTTTTGATCCTTGTCTTCTGACGACTGCTCCACCTGTTCGAGTCGCTGGGCGGAATCTGTCAAGCAGATGTAGCGGTCTTGAGCCTGGGTTGTAACTCGTTGTGGACCAGGACGTTGACGGTCACGTGTTGATCCAGTTAATCGAACAAGTTCCACCAACCTTACAATAGTGGACTGATGACAATTGAAGTGTCTGACAATAGCACGTGTAGACATGTCAGACCTGGACATTCCCATGGCTTCATTCCATTGATTTTCAGTAAGTCTCGGCATCTCTAGCTCAATTCCTTCACACGTCCAACAACAAATTACGACAGATGGACGTTTCACAGTTAAAGTACTGCACATTAAGTTGAAAACATGCTTTTAAAGGGCTCACACACAATGCTGCACGTGAATATTGGGTTTTTCATGTGCATCTCGTGCAATATATTTTTGTGCACACGGGCCGATATTTTTTGCGTTTGGGAGCATTGTGTGAAACAATAGTTCATAGTATTGCATAATATTATACATACAAAACCACCTAGTATAAAATATTTGGGAAAAAAAGTGATGCGTTTTCCATGGCGCTCAGTATATTTTCTTTTTTAGTAACATTACATCTATAGTTTCATTCAGTTACTAGTTAGTTTTTGTTGGCTCTGTTCGATATAAAAAAAATAAAAGGGCCAAGATTATTTTCAATTTATTTTTCTGTGTGAGTTGCCATCCCATTTATTTCTATGCATATGTACTGAACTATAGGCCTACCAGTACATGATGTTAACATAGGAAAAAATAAACATCAAATACAAAGACTTATTTATTTTACAGGCACACAGGAAATATATTGAGTCATTCCATGCCAGTAAGTTCCAGGTAATTACAACCAATACAGACCTGCAATTGTAGTTCAAACTAGGCCTAGTAGTTACAATGATTTTTTATGATTTTCTAGTTTGGCTGGGTGGCCGAATGGTTATGGATCAGGACTGAAATGGGGGTTTAACATCCTACTGATGAAGTCAGGCATATGCCATACTGTGTGCTATGAGGGAAATTTTGCCTGGGCAGCAGCACCATGCCCTACTCTTGCATTGAATTAGAATGTCTGTCATTGAGTCCAGTTGTGTGATTGCACTAAAAACCTATGCGTAAGAGAATTATTGAAATAAAATTGAACCATGTATTTTAAGTCCTAGTTAGACCTAGTTTGTGTTGAGTGGACATTAAACCCTCTTTTTTCACATTCCTTCTTTAAAAAGTACACTTTTAAATTGAAAGAAAGATGTTTCACATCAACAATAATAATTTATTTGACATTATTTTGCAGTCCACTGGTTTACCATGCAAAATGTTTGTTGGTAGCAGTTGATTTTAATTTGCATACAAATCGAGAACCACTAAAAGGAGCTGACACAAACATTAGGTTAGTTTTCCCCTTACTTATGTAATAACATTCAACAATATCTAATAAATGACCCGTATGACAGTCATGTAAGAAACTAATTGGTCAATTTTAACCATGGATCAAATGTGTTTATAAAATATGAGAAAACGTTAAATTATTGTGTCTCATCTCGGTACATTCAAACTGTGATTTTGGAGCTGGCTCACGAACCTTGGGGTCCAAGAAAGTTTTTCTACATTATCAATCCTGGTTTTCTAAGGTCAGCAATAAAAGGGGGGTGGGTGATGATGTGTATACCATTAGCAGCATGATACAGTTCTCCTGACAATTGTAATTTCGCAGTTCGAACAATTTTCCACATATAATACTGCATGACATATGCCCATTTCCTTTAATCTATTTATTTTTCAGATATAAAAAAAAATACTCAAAAAGATCGGAATATTGTCAGCAGTACCTTTAATCTGGGGCAGTCATACCCAGACCCAGCTGATCCAACGAGATATTGTGAAGAGACAGACCAAAAAATTTTAAGAATGTTACAGAATATAATATATTCTAACCAAAATTAAATACACAATATAAAACAGAAATATGTTTAATAGCATCAATGTTTATTTAAACATGCATTATACAAGAAGTAAATGTGTCTATTGCAGGTCTTTCTTTAGGTCTGAAATGTTATATAAACTACATGTATTAATTAGACATTTATTATAATCAACTCTTGATGTCATCTATGGTGTCCGATTTTCATTGGATTTGAATCTGATCTGCCGTTCATTATCTGTTGATTAAACGCAACAATGGATAATAAAGACTTTATTATCATGACAGCAGTAACAATGACAATTGAGGCTACAGTCATTTTCATAATAAGGTTTTCTCAGCTTGTAGTGAAGCAATTTAGCTGAAATTCTCAGCATATTCCATATCATCTAGTTTTAACTATTACAGTAAGAACTGCCAGCTCTTAAACTAATCTTCCATAATGTATCTTTAACTATTATAAAAGAATGTTTTGTTTGATAATTTGGGTAGGTCTTTTGCAGACTATATAGTTTGATATTACTTGTCTGATTATTTCTTCCAAGTCGACCTTGCCTCTAAAACTGACGGTATACAGCATGGCGAAACCTTTTCTGTTCGTCGTCATATGGCACCCTAATAAATGTCATCTCTTGTTTGTAATGCTATCTAAACTGCCTCATCTAAACAATACTGATCAATTTTCCTGAAAATAAAATGTTAAAATATGTAAAAATGTATTAAGGTTTTATATAACTATTAGTTGTGTCAAATATTTTTTTTTGTATTTTGTAAACAGTTTGTCCTGAATGTAAATATTAAGAGTCTCTGAGTAAACCAGTTGTTGATGTGATAATTATTTGGTTGTCATCAAATCACAAGTTACCATAAAGAAATAGTGAAATCACCGATATTCCATCTATAAAAGTTAACACTGCGTGAAGTTTTAGATTTTATACATGACATCTACTTACCGGTCTTAGAGATAAGCAATTTTGAGGCGAAAGTCTATAACATAGATTTTTTGTCGGTGGTTGTGGACAGGGCTCGAAATTCATTTTTTCGATCGAAGGCCAACTTTGGCCTACGATAGGCCAAAGTGCAACCTTGATCCAAGGCCAAAAATTGAAAATCCAAGGACAATTTTTAAGTCATGAAATATGATGTTATCAGCTTATTCAGAAGGTTTCAATATGTCATATGTGAATCTGTTTATTGTAGATCACTAGATCTTTCTCAGTCAAAATGTTGTTACAGGCCTGACTATCACATCACGTTCAATATTTTTATTCCGTTTACAAAAATAATGCATCCTTACAGTTAAGAGGGGGGGGGGGGTAAAATTCATATCGTACTATCATAGCCTACTGTTTTTAGTATGATATTTTATTCTACTCAAAAATATTTTTAAAATCGGCATGTAGCCATATTGAGAGTTGAAAGTATTACTATATCAGCGGTAGAGCTGGATGAAATATCGATATAAATCGTTAAGATATGCCAAAAAGCACTATCGAGTATTGTTCTCTTCGTCTATTTTTCGTGCGTGCGTAGGAGTCGACTCAATGTTTTCTGTGACTTAATCCTTCGTATATATAACAATACAATACCCTACATCGGTCACTTTATATTTACTTCAAAGTCTCAATCTCAATGTAGCATTTTTAAAAAAATGTTAAAATAAATTTGCCCTCATTTAAACATTACTTTAGTTTGAAACAATAATCGCCATATCATGGAATTCGCTAAATTGGAGATACCCGGATGTGTAAATATTTCAGAGTTTTTTCCCTTTCAGAATTCGTCTGCTCATTATAAATGACATAGCACTGATGAATGACAAAAACGTTTGTATTTCTTCTTTCGGAATCAAGGCTACATTATTTTAATAATAATAAACAATTTACGAATTCGTGATATCAAGCTCTTTAGGCTAGTAAATTTTCTTCAGTTTTTGCATGCGAATCGACAACGAATTGTCCGCCATGTTGGTATTTATTGCGCTCACATACGCAATGTTTTGAATCGACTCATGCTCATTTTATTTTGGTTTCTGCACCTACATAGGCATATCAACGGTATTTCGTCATTCAGAACTAAGGCTACATTATTTAAAAAAAAGAACAATAATAAGGTTGTGTTGATACTATCAATTGACATTTCAATGGCGATTACCGATAGTAAAAATAACTCGCGATACCCAGCACTAATCGGCGACCATACATGGCCGTGGATAGTTAAAAGTCGGCCATGAATCTGCGGCCAAATTCTAAAATTCGGAGGCCATGGACGCCGAGGCCGACGGCAGTGTCGAGCCCTGGTTGTGGAGACGTGACTGGTGTGTCTCTAGCTGCAATAGTCAAACCGTCGCAAATTTCAAGCAGCAATTCCATTCTTTTTTTTTATCATCCAGCTGATGATGTAATGAAATATTTTTTTTTTTGTAATTATATAATAAATAAGCTCACATGACAGCCAAAGAATTGAAAAGAATTTGTTTTTATACGCCAACATTGAAATGTGGTCATATATTGTCGTCGCCCCCGTCAGTCCGTCCGTGGACGCTCTAGAGGCTAAAGTTAATATCCGATTGACTTTAAATTTATACACAGTGTTTAAGGTCATGAGACGAAGAAGCGATTTCCGATAATTACTGCCAGAGTTATGGCCCTTGATCACTTAAAAAAATCTTGTGGACGCTCTAGAAGCCAAAGTTAATATCCGATTAATCTTAAATTTATACACAGTGTTTAAGGTCATGAGGCAAAGAAGCCTATTGATTTTCAGCAATTTCCGATAATTACTACCAGAGTTATGACCCTTGATCACTTCAAAAAATCTTGTGGACGCTCTAGAGGCCAAAGGTAATATCCGATTGACTTTAAATTCATACACAGTGTTTAAGGTCATGAGACGAAGAAACCTATTGATTTTTAGCAATTTCCTATAATTACTGCCAGAGTTATGGCCCTTGATCACTTGAAAAAATCTTGTGGACGCTCTAGAGGCCAAAGTTAATATTCGATTGACTTTAAATTCATACACAGTGTTTAAGGTAATGAGACGAAGAAGCCTATTGATTTTTAGCAATTTCCGATAATTACTGTCAGAGTTATGGCCCTTGATCACTTTGAAAAATCTTGTGGACGCTCTAGAGGCCAAAGTTAATATCCGATTGACTTTAAATTTATACAGGTTGTTTAAGACGAAGAAGCCTATATTTTTTCAGCGATTTCCGGTAATTACTGCCAGAGTTATGGCCCTTGATCACTTCAAAAATTTTGTGGACGCTCTAGAGGCCAAAGTTTATATCCGATTGACTTTAAATTTATACACAGTATTGAAGGTCATGAGACGAAGAAGCCTATAGTTTTTCAGCGATTTCCGGTAATCACTGTCAGAGTTATGGCCCTTGATCACTTTGAAAAATCTTGTGGACGCTCTAGAGGCCAAAGTTAATATCCGATTGACTTTAAATTTATACAGGTTGTTTAAGGTCATTAGACGAAGAAGCCTATATTTTTTCAGCGATTTCCGGTAATTACTGCCAGAGTTATGGCCCTTGATCACTTCAAAAATCTTGTGGACGCTATAGAGGTCAAAGTTAATATCCGATTGACTTTAAATTTATACACAGTATTGAAAATCATGAGACGAAGAAGCCTTTAGTTTTTCAGCGATTTCCGGTAATCACTGCCAGAGTTATGGCCCTTGATCACTTCAAAAATTCCTGTGGACGCTCTAGAGGCTAAAATTAATATTCGATTGACTTTAAATTCACAAACAGTGTTTAAGGTCATGAGACGAAGAAGCCTATTGATTTTTTAGCAATTTCCGATAATTACTGCCACAGTTATGGCCCTTGATCACTTTGAAAAATCTTGTGGACGCTCTAGAGGCCAAAGTTAATATCCGATTGACTTTAAATTTATACACAGTTTTTAAGGTCATGAGACAAAGAAGCCTATTGATTTACAGCGATTTCCTACAATTACTGCCAGATTTATGGTCCTTGATTCAAAAAATCTTGTGGACGCTGTAGAGGCCAAAGTTAATATCCGATTGACTTTAAATTTATACACAATGTTTAAGGTCATGCGATGATGAAGCCCATTGATTTACAGCGATTTCCTATAATTATTGCCAGAGTTATGGTCCTTGATTAAAAAAATCTTGTGGACGCTCTAGAGGCCAAAGTTAATATCCGATTGATCTTGTTTAGGATCATGAGATGGAGAATCCTATTGATTTTCAACGATTTCCGATAATTTCTGCCAAAGTTATTGCCCTTGATCACTTTGCAAAATCTTGTGACGCTCTAAAGGCTAAAGTTATCATCCGATTGACTTCAGATTGATACACAGAGTTTAAGATCTTGAGAGGAACAAGTATATTGATTTTCAATGAATTTTTATGACTTGGAACAGCTAAATCCATGATATTAAAAGTTTTGTATACAAAACGTTAGCATGGGGCAGAACTTTATAAAAACCAAACAAATTCTAATGGTTTTCTGAGTTGTTGCTCTTATTCAGATTTGAGTGTATTATAAATGTTTCATTGTTGACTGCCCGGACGATTTAGCTGCTGTGGGCGTATGTTTCGTTGCCTGGCAACCTATCTTGATACATTTTTGCATGCCATACAAAATGTTCATTATATGACTAACAAAATGCCTGGCGCGAATTGTGTTTTGTTCGGATGTTCCGCCAGCAATAAAAGAAATTGGGGTTGATCATTCTATCGTTTACCCAAAAACAACATAGAGTGGAGAGAGAATCATTACGTATCATACAGTTTACCAGATCAGACCCGATAAATGACAAGACCTTGACAATATGTTCAAGACACGTTGAGCCGGATTGTTTCGTAGAAAAAAGTAAGTGAAAACTCAAAAGAAATTAATTATGTAGATTCTAGTTGGCAGTCCACCCTGACAACCTACAATGAAGTTAAGTTAAACCCATACTAGCTGAGTGTCTGTATTTTCATGTTTGCCCGTTAGATTTTACCCTTTCCCCATCAAAGTTGTATGCATATAGGTTTGTTTACATTAGTGTGCTATAG